GGGAAATCTTCGCCATCATGCAAAAGTTCAACCTTCGGCTAAACCCGAAGAAGTGCACCTTCGGCGTCCAAGGGGGAAAATTCTTAGGCTACATGGTGAGCCGAAGGGGTATTGAGGCCAATCCCGAGAAGATCCAGGCCATCATCAACATGGAGCCCCCACGCAATGTGAAGGAAGTTCAACGGTTGACGGGCCGCCTGGCAGCCCTCAACCGCTTTCTATCTAAATCAGCGGAGAAGTCTCTACCCTTCTTCCAGATCATGAGGAAGACGGTTGGCTTTCAATGGACTCTAGAATGCCAGGGGGCTTTCGACGAGCTCAAACGATATCTATCTTCACCCCCTGTGCTCTCCAAACCAAAGGTAGGGGAGACCCTCTATCTCTACCTTGGGGTCAGTCCGGCAGCCCTCAGCTCCGTGCTCATCCGGGAGGAAGACGGCATCCAACATGCCATCTTCTATGTAAGCAAGACCCTAAGGGAGGCCGAGCTCAGGTACTCTCCTGTGGAAAAAACGGTGTTAGCCATCGTTTGGACCGTCAAGAAGTTGGGCCACTACTTCCAGGCTCACCCGGTTCAGGTCCTCACTCATCAACCCCTCGGCGCCCTCATGAGGAGCCCCACCAGCTCCTCCCGCATGGTGAAATGGGCTATCTTCTTAAGCTAGTACAACATTGACATCCGTCCGAGGCCTGCCATCAAGGGCCAAGCCCTGGCGGACTTTGTGACGGAGTGTACCGCAAGGGCAGCCACGGACGGGGAGCCCTCGGCTACCTCGGACGACTGGTGGACCCTCTACACCAATGGCTCCTCCGCGACCAAAGCATGCGGGGGAGGGGTAGTCCTCGTTACTCCCGAGGGCTTCAAGGCCTACTATGCAATCCGCTTCTCCTTCAAAGTCTCCAACAATGAGGCCGAGTATGAGGCCCTCCTATGTGGCCTTCGGCTGGCTGCCAACATGAAGGCTCGGCAGATCCATATCAAATGCGACTCCAAGTTGGTCGTTGGCCAAATCTCCGAGGAGTATGAGGCCAAGGAGGGAAGAATGAAACAGTACAAGGAGGCGGCCAAGGAGTTGCTTAAGGTATTTGAGGCACACTCTCTCACTCAAATACCGAGGGCTCAGAACTCCGAGGCCGACATACTATCTAAGCTCTCGGCCGACTCCCCCGAGCACATCTCTAAGATTGCTAAAATTGAGGAACTCAGTCTCTCGAGTATCCATGCGAGCCCCGTCATTAACATACAACAACGCCAAGAGGACTGGATCTCAGATATCATCACCTTCATCTCTGCAGGGCAGCTACCCGAAGATGAGACCCGCGCTAAACTAGCAAAGCTGAGGGCTCCTAGCTACACCATCGAAGACGGAAGGCTCTACAAACGGTCCTACAACGGCACGCTACTTCGGTGCCTTCATCAAGATGAAGCCGAGGTCGCAATGGAGGAAGTGCACAGTGGCACTTGCTCAGCTCACCAGGGACCCTTCTCCATGTCCCGAAGGCTCATTCTCCAGGGCTACTTCTGGCCAACCATGGCCAGAGATTATGCTGACCTTGCCCGAAGGTGCACCGCATGCCAACATTTCCAGAAATCCCCCGGCAGGCCAGCGGTCAACTATGCCCCCATCAGCACATCCGTCCCCTTTTCTCGATGGGGGATAGACCTTGTGGGCCCTCTGCCGAGGGGTACCTCCAACAACAGGTACATCATTGTGGCCATCGACTACTTTACCAAGTGGGTGGAGGCTGAGCCCCTCGCCAGCATCACAGAGGCGAAGTGCCGTCACTTCGTCCTCAAGAACATCCTCACAAGGTTTGGCGTCCCCCAGCAGATCATCTCCGACAACGGAACACAATTTGAGGCAGCCCCCTTCTGTGCCCTTCTGGAGGCATGGGGCATCAAACACACCTTCTCCTCCGTTGCCTACCTTCAAGGCAACGGGCAAGTAGAGAACGCCAACCGGACCTTGCTCGAGGGCCTCAAAAAGAAGCTGGAGGCCGAGGGCGGTGGCTGGGTAGAAGAACTCCACAACATACTTTGGGCCTACCGCACCACCCCTCGGCGAGCGACAGGTGAAACACCCTTCTCCCTCTGCTACGGGTTTGAAGCCAAAGCTCCTACGAAAGTCACCCTTCCCACCCGGAGGGTGATCCTATATGACCCCGAGGTCAACGACAGCAACATGGCCCTCGACCTCCACCTCCTTTCAGAATGACGGGAGCAAGCCTTCATCCGGGCAGAAAACTACCGAAGGCAAGTCAAAAGCTACATCGACGCCAAGGTTCGCACCAGAGAATTCCAAGTGGGGGACTATGTCCTCCGGAGGAGGGAAGCCAGCCAACCGACCGAGGGAGGCAAAATGACACCAAAATTCGAAGGTCCCTACATCATAGCAGCCATCATCAAACCCGGGACTTACAAGCTCAAATGCCCCAACGGGAAAGAGGTCTCTAGGCACTGGAATGTACACCACTTAGTTAAATTTTATCAATAATGTAAGAGCGGCCAAGCCCTCATAACTAGTGAATGTACTATCCTATGGCCCAAGGCCTCCAATTTTGAAGAATGAAGACACATTCAAGACACCAAGAACAACCGCAAAACACTTATGAGCGGCCAAGCCCTCATACCAACTACAGGCCCCAGGCCTCACCACGAGAAGAACCCCCTCCGGCACCAAATGCCGAGGGCGGACACCATCAACACCTTCAACAACAGTGAAAACACCAAGTGTTTCAAACAAGACCCCTCAGTACCAAGTACCGAAGGTGGGGGACTCCCATCACCGGCAACAGGAAACACCAAGTGTTTCATTTCAAAACCCTTCGACACCCAATGCCGGGGGTACACATCTCCACCATCAACATCAAAAAGAAGAACACCAAGTGTTCCTACAGAAGACCCCTCAGTACCAAGTACTGGGGGTACTCATCTCACCCATCAACGTCAAATAGAAGAAGAACACTAAGTGTTCCTACAGAAGACCCCTCGGTACCAAGTACCGGGGGGCTACATATCGAAACTAACACCAAGTGTTGTTTCTAAAAGCCGTACCCCACGAGGACGCATATACCGAATGCGCCACCATCGGTGCCGGCGGCACGTAGTGCCCCCGGCCATTTGCAACTAGTGTGCAAATGAAAACCCTTCCTTGAAACGCTTTCCGCGTCACTACCCCCAGGGTATGACAGGCATGAGAAATGCACAGGATTCGACTTTCAAAAACGGAACGCTTTCCGCGTCATCACCCCAAGGGTATGACAGGCACGAGAAATGCCTAGGATTCGACTTCCAAACCGAAACGCTCCCCGCGCTACCACCCCAAGGGTGTGGCAGGCCACGGACTATGTCTAGCGCCAAGGGGACGACTTTCAAAAATGAGGCGCTTTCCGCGCCATCCCCCAAGGGGAGGCAGGTTACAGACCACCATATCTTGTGCCCAGGAAACGACCCTCGATCCCCTCGGAACTCGGAAGGTTAACCCAAGGGAGGAGAGCCATTGGTGTATTCTGATGGTCTCCTGATAGGCCCAGCCTTACCAAGAAACCAAGTTTTTTGATGCCTTCCCTTCACCAACAACCAAAAAAAAACAGAGGGGGTGAAGGGGAGTAGACTCATCGAGAAATCAATGAGTACAACACTCCAACAAATCACAGCATACCGAGGGCTCCCTACGGGAACACCTCCGGTAACTGAACGCTCCTATGTCCCGAAGGTTACTACTCAACAATACAAAGGGATTGGACTGTCTCAAGTACACTAAACGACTAAGTTCACCTCAAATAAATGCCGAAGGCACCTACCATCGGTCATCCATCGCCACCGAGGGGTCCTATCCCGTAAAAGGGGATGCAACTGACTAAGGCAACTCAACAACCCTTCAAGTGAATGCCGAGGGCACCTATATCCCACCAGCATTCACTACAACATCAATGTCCTACAAATTTTCCTAAGTCCACACTTTTGGAAAATGACAACAGCCGGAGGCATCTATTACTAACCGAAGGCTACACAAGGAAGCAACACTTAGAAAATTTTCTAAGTCCTGAAGATTGAGCCCCCGACCTGATCAATATTTCAACTGAGGGACCATGATAGCCGAAGGCTACTTGATGCAACAACATTTAGAAAATTTTCTAACTCCTATATGTTGGGCGCTCGGTCCAATATTCACACATCAGGAAGGAGGCTACCAGCCGAGGGCTTCCAATGGGGAACTACACTTAGAAATTTTTCTAAGTCTTAAGGATTGGGTTCTCAACCTAATCATCTCACAGCAATTGAACTACAAACACCCGAAGGCCCTATGGTGTGCTACACTTAGGAAAACAAGCTAAGTCCTAAATGTTTTGCCCCTTGTGGAGCCACCAGCCAGCCGAGGGCATACCGCAAACACCTCACCGTCACCCGAGGGCTCCAACTTCACACATACTACACTTAGGAAAATTCCCTAAGTCCTACATATTTTGGCCCTCGGTCAACTCTCCATACTACCGGAGGGGCCATACGATTGAAGGCTTGGTGAGACTACACTTAGAAATATTTTCTAAGTCCTAACTATTACTGGGCCCTCTATCATATATTCAGCGAGGGGTGCCCAACTACCGAAGGCTAAAAACTGTATTCAAACACTTAGAAAATATTTCTAAGTCCTGAACATTGTCCCCTCGGTGAAAGGTTCAACTGACTAAAGATTTCTAATAGCCGAGGGCTACAAGGTGCACCGCACTTGGAAGAAAATATTCTAAAGTCCTAAACATACATTAAAGAAGGGCGAAGGCATACATTCAAGAGAAAACGACGGCATACATTCAAGAGGAAATAAATTAAAGAAAACAAGTCAAATACGCGAGGCCCGAGGGCTAACATTCATCCATCAAAAAGAAGAGTAAATGTAATTGTTACAACGATGGCCATGGCCGGAAGCATACAAATGTGACCATTACAAAGTAAGTCCCAAATATTTACTAAGTACAGATTACAAATCAACAACATCATTCCCGGGGGCCTCCTCCTCCGATGGCTTCGATGTGACCTCTGCATCGGCCTCAGGTTCGTCACCCTCGACTTCCTTCCGGAGCTCGGTGTCCTCCAGGTCTGGCCTCTCGACATCAGAGGGGAGAGGAACACGGATGTCTGGCTGCAGGGGGGAAGCCCGTATGCCGCCGGGTCGAAGTCCTTCGGCTCAATTTTCAAGTGGCGAGCCATCCTCCGGTAGATGAGTGCTTGGGTGAAAAACTCGCCCCCATCATAATATTGTTTGCCCTTTCGGGCCATCCATTCCTCGCTCGGGCCCTCGCACCACTCATCAACTGAGGCCTCCACAACCGAGGACAGCCACTCCCTGTGTCCCTCGGCCTTCCACCCCCCATCCAGGAACCCGGAGATGGCCTCCTCCCGGGCTGTGACGACAGCCTTCGCTCTGACGGCCTCGGCCTCCTCGGCGGCTTTCTTTGCGGCCTCCGCAGCAGCCTCCTCAACTTTGGCTTTCTCCTCCCTAAGCCTTCCGGCCTCCGCTCTCGCAAGCTGGAGGTCCTCTTCGAGCTGGGCCATCAGCTTCGTGGCCTTGGAGTCCTTGAGAATGAGCTCCTTCATCTTTGCGTCTTGCCCAACTTTGTGGAGACGCCATTCCTCCAGCCGTCGGGCCTGCTCTCCGAGGGCAATGCAGGTCTGCAAAAATAAAGGAGTTAGCAGGGCCGAACATGATTTCCTAGGTCGAAGTAAAGAAGAGAAAGATAACTATCATAGACTTACCGTGAGGGAAGACCGGAGGATCCTGTCCTCGAGGGCTTGGTCATCATCAGCCCCGAGGGCTGCCCTGTCAATATCGAGGGTTATACCTCTCAGAAGCGCCCTCGGGTCAGCTGTAACATTCAACACGGCCGTACCAGCCGGGAGGGAGAGCGTAAGGACCTCGGGAGATGGCTCCCGGACACCCCTCGGTACATTCGCCACCGGCATCTCCTCGTGCACCCCGGAGGCGGGGCAATCATCCACAATCACCACCGAGGGGTCCTTCTTCGTGGTGTCCCCCTTCTTCGATTTCTTGCTAGCCGGGGGGGATTCCTTTGCCGTTGTTTTCCTCTTCGCGGCAGCAGCATCGCCCTCGGGCTTCTTGAAAAACGCACCGACAGGATTTTGGCCGCCCGCGTCCGACCCTTTCGGATCCTTGGCCGGCTTGTTCTTGAATCGGGCAAGGCCTTTGACGTTCATCATATTCACTGGATACCTGCAAAAATAGTATGGGGTTAAAATCGAGGGGTTACTAACAGAAGGCACAAGAAATAAAAGAACAAACAGATAAACTATGTGCTAAGATATGAAAATAAGGGTGCCCTCAGCCACTACCTCCGGAGGCTCCCTCAAACACCGGGAACTTCTCATCTGTTTCCCCCAGGAAGTGATACCGCCGGAATCCGAGGGTGTAGAGATCTTCCTCTTTGGTGCACTCCTTAATGGTAATATTTTTGTCCCGGCCCTCCGGGATCGTGGCCAGAATCCTGCCGTCTTTCTCGAGGGCGGCACTCCTCCTCTTCTCGTGCCTCCTGAAACGGTCACGCAACTCCCTCGGGAAGGGGCTCTCGGTCAGCTTCACGTAGCACCACCGGTCCTTCCACCCCTTGTTCGAGGAGGGCGCCTCAGTGAAGAGCTTGAACATTGCCACCTGCTGCAAGTTTGTGAAGCCCTCGGCATTCGCATGCCCCCCCCCCCCCCGGCACAGATTGAAGCTCTGGAAGAAGAGGTCCAGGCTAGGTGTCACCCCCCGGGACTTGCAGAGCTGGAGGAAGTCGGTAATGTAGGAATGGCTGTTCGGGGTCAACTGGCAGGGGACCAAACCCACGAACCAGAGGTACTCCCGGAGGAAAGGGTGCAGGGGGAAGCGGAGCCCCATGGACACTGAGAGAACGTGCACCGCAATACAGCCCTCGGGAGCCCGGGAGAGGACGTCATCTGGACCCGGTGTCACCACGATGGCCGAGGGGCCCACGTGAAGCTGAGTGACGAGGATGTCCGCCGCATCAACCTTCGACCTTATTTCCAAGGCGGCGGTGTTCAGGTAGGAGTACCCCTCGGGCATATCGAGGGGCTTCCCTTGATCTGCAACGCTGCCCTTCTTCTTGGAAGCAGCTACCTTGGCCTTCTTCTTTCCGGGGGCCACCCGGATGGGAACCGCGTTCAGCGGCCGAGAGGTGCTGGCCTCACCGGCACCCCGAGGGGGAAGGACGGCCACGGTCACCCTCGTCCTCTCCTTTGCTTCCTCCTCCTCTGCAACCTGCATGGCGAGGGCCAGCTCTTCGTCTTCCACCTCCTGCTCGAAGCCCTCGGCTTCAACTTCAGCCAACAGCTCCTTCTGCACTTCTACTGCCATCGGGGCCGAGGACTGTTCGTTTGAGGACTCCACATCCGAGAGGACTTCATCCTCCATCAAGGGCGCCCCCGAGATGTCTTGAGAATCACTCTGTGAAGACATTGCTATACTACGTCGAGGGTTCGGAGACGCTAAGTACTCTAAGCTACCCACCTAATCTAAGGCCACAAAGACAGCTATCTAAGAGGTGAAGTGCGAATGGAGAACTGACCTTAGAATCTGATCGAGGGCTGCTGTTTCTCTCTCTAGAAAATTTGGCAGAGCTTCGCTATAAGGATTTCGCACAAGGGGAAGGAAGCCCGGCCATGGGTATTTATAGGCGCTGGAATCCGGGCTTGGGCCTGGAAACCGGGCCTCCGGATGGACTGTCATCATTACACGCTGTGTCTTCGCCCAACCGGTGACGCCGCCCACGGACAGCCAACCATCACACGCCACGTGTACCCCCCCCCCCCCCAACGGCTATATCCTGACGTTACATATTCCAACGGCTATATTTCCAACGGCTATATTCTGGGAGCCCCCAGATTTTCTTACTTCACTCCACTTCATCAAGGAGAGCCTCCGGGTACACTTACCCAGAGACGCCCCCGGGTTGTGCCCCACACAGTACATAACAGTCGCCTTCGGGATCACTCCTTCAGAAGCCCAAGGCTTCATATCAGGCCACTCCTCGGGGATTCCCCCTCAGCACTGTAAGGGCCGGGTAGCCCCCGGGGAGTATGCCCCATTGACGGATAGCCTACGGCACACAGGTAATGGGAGCCCTCGGATATCCTCATCACCAACTAATCAACAAGCAGGGGACACCCCGGTAACAATTCAACTACTGCCCTCATCCATCACGCCCTCGATCCCCAGATTGAGGGGCTCCCCTTCGGCACCTCCCATGACATCAACGACAAGCCTCCGGCTACTCAACACATGAGCCCTCAGAACAAGGAGAGCCTTCGGCATTACCGTTATTCTCCATTTTGGACCAAGGGTTCACATGTTCCCACAGGGTTTTTCCTAATGAGGTTTTTAACGAGGCATCCCCCCAAAATGAAACGAAAAGCGTCAGCCTTCGGCTCGCAACAGCAACGCAACTACTTCACTCCTTTTCACCACTTTGCAAGTGCCTCAAGGAGTGGGGGACTGGAGGACCCCCTTGGGAAAAATCACAAAAATTACAAACATGACCCCTCAAGTCCCGACATGTGGGTAACTGAGGGGCTGCCCTCGGCAGAATAAACAAACAGCAAACTACCCACGACTCTACGAACTACAAACGAAACAACGGCAGAGGACAAGCACAATTACTCCTTTTCCCTCAACTACCTTTCGACAAAAAGAGGGAGGGACTCCTGATGGAGTATATGGCCCAGGAACCCCCGGCCCACAGACTCATACTACTCCAAACAATGCCCAACAGGCCCAGAAGGCCCAACAGGCCCAAATCACAGCGCCCAGAGTACCAAGCAGCCCATAATGCGCATCAGGGGCGCCTTCGCCCCCCTGGCCGAGGGCTCTAACTCCCACAGGAGGGCCAAAACAGGAAAACAAGATGACTAGGGAAAACGGCGAAAATCACTAGCCCTCAGCACCTGGAGCCCTCGGCACCAAGAGGGTCCCCAGTACTCAGAGCCCTCGGTTAGTCCTCTACAGCCGAGGGCACCTTTCCCGACATGATATCCGCACCACATGCGTACAGATCACCGTACCCTGTACAAACGTCCCATCCAATAGCTCTAAAGCTATTGTTCCAACTTCATTTACAATGAATTAAATAAAAGTTACAGATTAACCATATATTCACAAATGTTTCTGATTTCACTCTGAACTCGTGTAAAATTTGATGCGATCATATCTTGCTCTATTTTGTGCCGTTGAGAGCGTTTAATATCTCGTTGGAAAGATCTTACCGAGTTCTAAAACTTGTATTCAATTGCGCGTTTCAAAGTATCAAGGGATTATTGCCTAAGTACTAAAATACACTGTATTTACGCTAAAAGTGCTCTATTTTCGCTGAAAACACAAAATCATAGAGATAAGGCTAAGTATTTGTGACACTCATATCTTGCTGTGTGTTTATCCGTTTGGAGCATATTATATCTCGTTGGAAAGATAGATCGGAGATCTAAAGCTATTTTTCCATCTTCATTTACAATGCATTAATTAAAAGTTACAGATTAACCATATATGCACAAATGTTTCTGATTTCACTCCGAACTCGTGTAGAATTTGATGCGATCATATCTTGCTCTATTTTGTGCCGTAGAAAGCGTTTAATATCTCGTTGGAAAGATCTTACCGAGTTCTAAAACCTGTATTCAGGCGCTGGCTTCAAAATATCAAGGGATGATTGCCTAATTACTAAAATACACTGTATTTACGCTAAAAGCGCTCTATTTTCGCTGAAAACGCTAAATCATAGAGATAAGGCTAAGTATTTGTGACACTCATATCTTTCTGTGTGTTTATCCGTTTGGAGCGTATTATATCTCGTTGGAAAGATAGATCAGAGCTCTAAAGCTATTGTTGCAACTTCATTTACAAAGCATTAATGCAAAGTTACAGATTAACCATATATTCACAAATGTTTCTGATTTCACTCTGAACTCGTTTAGAATTTGATGCGATCATATCTTTCTCTATTTTGTGCCGTTGAAAACGTTTAATATCTCGTTGGAAAGATCTTACCGAGTACACTATCCATCATAGAGAGAATTAGAATTTGGGAGTAGAAGCTAATAGGAGATTAGAAGGTTTAGGAAAAATGATGAAAGTAGGGGTATTTATAGGAATATAGGATTATTAGACACTCCACCCCCACCCCCAAACCCCCAATGGCTATATAGCCGGCTAGTTGGATATACTCTTTATATAAAAAAACAGTCTCAAATCTTAGTAGTAGCTATAATTTTATACTGGAATATATTGTAGGTCATGTTGCAAATGATTCTTTAGTTTACTAAAGTGACTTGTTTTCGGTTCAAAAAATAAAAAACTATAAAAAGTATATTCAAAAGTGATACTTCCTCTATCCCTTAAAAGTTTGTCAACTTTCCTTTTTACTTGACAAGTTTTAAGGGACAGAGGTAGTATAAAACAACTTTTCATTAAAAATTTAGTCATTTAGTTCATAAAAAATTAATATCAAAATATGAAATAAGTGATCGTATTTCCGCAACTGTATAGAGACCGGATAGAGCAAAGGATAGAAGAGGGAAAAGGGGAGGGGCGTGTACCACATGATGTGTCCTTGTGTGTAAATAGTATTTTTCTTGTTTCCGATCAATTAATTCCCCACATGTGTATGGCCCATGTCATTATAAGTTGGGTAAGCCCAAGCTCTAATTAACTGCCATTTACCTACATTGGCCCATCCGAAAACTAAGATTCTATATAATATTGGGGTGAATAAATCCAATAAAAGCGGACTACAAAATCAATTGCAAGTTGCAACTACCAAAAGGTGGAAAACCGCCCGGAGAGGGAGTAGGAGTTGCGGTTGAGCAGGGGCGGATCTGGCATAGGGCCAGGGAGGGTCTAGGCCTAGCTAGGGATGGACTCGGGCCGGGTGGCTCGACCCGGAACCGGCCCGGGACCGGTACTGTTCCGGCCCAGCCCGACCCGGTGGCCCGGTCAGTGACCGGTCCGGGTAGGCCCGGCCCGTGGGTTTTCCGGTCCGGGCTCGGGTCACCCAAAACAAGGCCCGACCCGGCCGGGTCCGGGCCTGGTTCGGGCCAAAAACTATTTTTTTTTTCAATTTTTTTTAAATTTTTGGGTTGGGCTGGGTATTTTGGGCCATTTGGGGTGGTTTGGGGGTTGGGGGTGGGAGGGGGGTTAATTAGGAAGAGGAAAACAAAAAAAAATATAATGGGCCCCGGCCCGGCCCGGACCCGAGTCCATCCATAGGCCTAGCCTAAAAGAAAAATTAGTAGTATATATATAAGAAAATTCTCAGGATCGAACGTTCGGACCTGAGGCGCCGTCCGAACACCGCCGTTCGGGGCTGATGAAAAACATACCATAAAAATTTTTATGGTATGTTCGGAGCCGTCCGAACATACCATAAAAATTTAGTAGTATATATATATAGAAAAACACAGTCAACTTCCAAAAATTATTTGACGGTCTTTCCGATCGAATTTTGAGTTGAAATTTTTTGTGTATAAACTAGACTTGAAGAAGAACATACCATAAATATTCCATCAAAAAATTGAACCACCCCGAACTGCGGTGTTTGGACAGCGTTCGGACCAAAACCTGCTGGACAGGAGAATGACTCTATATATATTATATATGAGGAGTTTTCATGTGCAGACGGCCGCACCAGACCCACCGTCCGGCCGATGGCGTTTGGCCGCCTTACGGTGGATTTTTTTGATGAAATTTTTATGGCATGTTCTTCATCAAGTCTAGTTTATCCACAAAAAAATCAGCTAAAAACTCAATCCGGAAGGTCGTCAAATGATTTTTTGAAGTTCACTGTGTATTTTTTGGAAGGTTGATGTTTCTTCTTTCTGGTCGTTGGCGGTTGCCTTTTGAGTTTTGGCCGAGGAGGCCCAATAATTGCTTTTGTACTTCAGGCCGAAGCGATGATACTCGTAGTGTGGTGTCCATGTTCTTGAGGACGATAACGGCATTGATCCAGAGGAAGTTGTGCGTATTTTGGTCTCATGGACGATGATGGCGTTTTGGATCCAGGGACGTGTTCTTGTTTTCTTATCTTGGCCGAGAGTGGAGTACGTGATCTCAAGGCCGTTGAGTGCCACGCGTCAAGGGACGATACGTGGTTGATACAATGTTGTAGTTTGTGGACTTGTGTTTTTGGATTTTTTGATTTTGTCCTTGTGTGCGTTTAGAGGCCGGTGTAGTCCCTCAGTCCCCGTCTGCTTCAGGCCGAAGAGTAAGCGAGGGGTGAAGGAGTAAGGTTTAATCCTAGGCCGAAGCGAGATCCGCGTATTCCCCTGAATCCAAGCCCTTGGCGATTCCTGACCAAGGTAACCCTGTAGGAGAACCCTTGGACGCAGGTCGCTTTAAAGGAGTTATCATCAGGGTTTAATACAAGGCCGATGGCTGTTGGGTTCTTTTTTACTTTGCCTTGGTGGCCATTGAAAGGGCCCTGCTGTTGGTAATGTGTCATGCCGATACGGGCATACCTTGGGGGCTTTGAAGCCTAGGAGTGCGCTGTCATGATGTGAGCCGTAGAAATGATTATTGTCTACTAGGGCCGATGTGGCCTCTGAATCGTGGATGCTCATCTCTCCTTGGCGTGGCCGTTGAATGCCTTGGCCGTTAAGGATGCTGGTTGCTGGTACGTTGGAAGTGGGCTGATAGTGCTGGAAGTGGGTCTGGCCCATCTTTTGAACCGGTGGCAGCCTGTTAGGCCTTGGGGTGGTGGCCGTTCATGTAGCCAATGGGGGAGTGTCACGTGTAGCGACCATTGGGTGGAGGTCTATAATTACCCCCCTCCTTCCGAAGGAAGTCCCTATTGCATTCTGAGTTAACGAAGTGCTGCCCAAATTTCTAGAGAGAGAAAGGCTTGCTCGAGTGTTATTCCGTTTCTTCAAAACTTCAAAGGTCAGTTCATCATCCCTTCTCCTCTTTTTTATATACTTTGCTTCCTTAGGCCTTGATCTAGTGTTAGTCAACTTAGATCCCATATAATCCCCTTTAGGCCTTAGTTAGCCTTTATGGTGAAACCCCTGGACGATGAGTACTACCCGTATGACGACGAGGCATCCGTCAAGTCCCTTGATTACGGGGTAGTTGAGGAGTGCTGTGAGGAGATTGAAGAGTTGAGTCCCTTTCGATCTGGGGAGCAGAGAGACGAGGAGATTGCGGACGAGGAACCCGTGTCGTCGTCTGAGGGTGAGGATGTTGAAGTATCACGTGCAGTGGACGGAGCGTCTACTTCGGCCGCTATTCCCTGTCCGAAGCCGGTTTCTGCCATTGGGGGGACCGCCCCGAAGAGAAGGCGCCGGCCGAAGAAAAGTCCCGCTTTCTCCTACTTGGATCTCACTAACGTTCGTATCATCAGGCCGCAGAGCTGCGTGGCCGAGTACCTGGTTGCCCAGATGTACGTGGGACCGTTTGGTAGGGTTAGGGTCCCTAAGCCGACGGACCACGTACTTAATCCACCGCCGGGCTACTTCGGGGTATACCCCATGAGTTTTGCTAAGGGGCTCAGGTTTCCCCTTCATCTGTTCATCACGGAGTATTTGGACATGGTGGAGTTTCCTCCGGCCCTGCTGACCCCGAACAACTATTCATTGATCATCGGCTTTCTCCTTTGCTGTGCCGAGTTGGATTTCAGGCCGACAACAGCTCTCTTCATGAACCTCTATCAAATAGGCCGGGGTAGCCACCAGAACTGTGTCGACTATGCTAATCTGCAGCAGGTGAAGAATAGGGGGTCCTTCACTAATCTTCCGACGTCCATCCATGGGTGGAAAAGTAAGTTCGTCTTTGTGTCACTGGGCGAGGGTGGGATCGAGTTTCCTTCCGTCGCCCCGCTACACTAGTGAATTTTTTTATCTCCTACACTAACGAAAATTTTCGCCCCCTTTGACTCAAAATCCTGGATCCGTCCCTGATTCTATATATTGTTTAAAAGTTACCACGAGGTGTACAAAAATGGGATCTATCTAAATAAATTTATCGCAAGGTAGTACATGAAAAACACGTTTTTCACCAAAATCTTTGCATGCAAAAAACATTTGTCTAAACTTCTATAGGTGCTTACCTCCTTATATGTTTTTTTGCTAGAATCTAGACACAGCGTAATATATTCAAACGCTCCCTGAATTTATTACTTCCTCCATGGCTCCATCCCTTAATATTCTTCTTGATTTGACTTGAATCGGAATTTAAGAAAGTGAGAATAAAATGACGTGTAATTGTGATTGAGTAAGAAAAAAACAAATGAATGTTAGTGACATAAAACTTTTTAAAAAGATAAATAAGAAGAATTCTTTGGGACGTTCTAGAAAGATAAGTGAGAAGAAATTCAAGTGACCAGTACTTTCTAAAACAAAATAAATTCTCCGTTCTTTTATATTTGAAAGTATTACTTCTGGAAAATATTATACTACAATTCATCAGTGGTCTCGCACAATTTTTGTGTTCATACATTATATAATAGGCATTTTCTATGATTAGAAAGAAATGAAAATTTTGTGTTTAAGTTGAGAACAGGGACAATATTTTGGAACAACGAGCAAGGAAATAGGACAAATAAAATGAAAGACGAGTTCAGAGGGAACAAGCTAACGCATAAATAATTAAATATTGGTTCACTTCTATTACATCAAATCAAAATGTAAAACAGTACCCATAATTTGAAAATTTGAACCCCTCTTATTTAGTGGATTCCTTCCACACCAAATGCAGCAAAAATACGCTTCTATTTTGCCTTTTCAATAATCTTCTTGGCGAAAGATGGCAAGCAGAAAGCTGCAGAATGGATCTGGCAGAAAGCAAACAACAATGAATTGGGTGAAATAGAAAAACAGTAGTAGAGAAACAATAGAACTCCAAAAGAATCATCCAAGCAGAAAACTGCAGAAGCAGAAAACTGCAGAATGAATCTGGCGGGAAACAAACAACAATGAATTGGGTGAATAGAAAACATTACTATAGAAACAATACAACTCTAAAAGAATAATGAATGACTACCTACGTCCCAAATTTAAGTTTCTCAAACATAATTCAGTCAACTTAACTTCTTTTAATATACTATGTATAATTTTATACAATAACTTTCAACTGTTTTTAATTCCTTTTTTACGATTCAAAGTAATAGAATTTATAGCATAGTTTTTGAATATGTAAATTTTAATTATTACTTCGTATAATATATACTCTGTATACACACACACACACCGTATATATATATATATATATATATATATATATATATATATATAGAGAGAGAGAGAGAGAGAGAGAGAGAGAAAAGATCATGTGAGAAGTCCCCCTTAGGCTGAGAAGCTGCGAAGTCTAAATTATAAGCTCAAAACACGAACTTTTAACCAATAAATTACTAGTATAACTTATAGACCCCCTCCAAAAAAATTACGAAAATGCCACTCCAAATAACTCCAGAAAACTGGAAATTTTTTTTGCACAAAGTTCGTGTTTTTGAGGGGGTCTATAAGTTATGATTTTTTGGTTAAAAGTTCGTGTTTTTTGCTTATAAGTTAGACTTCGCAGCTTCTCAGCCTAAGGGCACTTCTCATTTGATCCGCTCCCTATATATATATATATATAGGGAGAAGGAGCAAATATACCTTTGAGTTTGTGTCTAAGGACAAATTACCCTTCAACTTCGTTTTTGAACAGTTAAACACAATTTATTTTAAATTTGGAACAAATGTACCCTTAAATTATATATTAGAGAACATATACACATCTTAACAATATATCACAGAACATATTTACCCCTTCATTTAGGCATATGGGTATATTTGTTCTAACTTTATAAATTTTGTGTTTATTTGTTCCAAATGAAGTTGAGAGGTATATTTGTTCTCTAACATATAGTTCACGGACAAGTTAACTTGATCACAAACCGCGCAGAGAATCTTGGAAAGGAACAGGTGGAGTACCTCTGAGTTGTAGAACTTCAAGGACCCTTTGGTCTCGGTATGGCTGTCATCTTCACTACTTAAAGGGTTGATTGGCTTCTTGAAATCAACTTCTGGTCCCTCAGTAGAGCATAGCATGAAGCCTATCACGCCACTGCAACATAAAAAAAAGTTTCAACCCCATGTTCCCCACCCACTCTTACCCCAGAACGTATGTGGTGAATGAGTTAAACAGCGAGGAATAAATCATTGTGTCCGTCATAGGGTTTGCACACAAACTTTTTCCCATAAAGATCTAAATATATTAGGGCCATACACTGCGGCTGATAGTGAGCCCACCATAAAGACATTACACTACAAGAACCTAGCCAGAGAACCAGAGGATGAACTATACAAATGAAATGTGATACACTCAAAAGTTGCCACTTCGCAGAAAAGTTAAGAAGTGAAGTTTAAAATGAAAAAATGAACTTAGAAAAAAAGTTCATGAAGTTTAAATTAGAAAAGTAGACATTAGTTCGAGGCCAACTAAAAAAGGGAACTAAGAGAAAGAGTGACATGATTATAGACAACATGCAATACCTAGAAATGCATATAGTTTTTTTTTGCGAGGAATAGAAATGCATGTAGTGATAAAACTAAGCAACAAATCACAATGAAAAAATGAACCTCGGATACGTGGGAACTGTCGTCCAAGCATAGTTGACAGAGCCTTTAAAAACCTGGCGGCAATTTGCCACTATATCTTCAATTATGTGCATGTGAAGCCATATGCTCTCAGCCTGTGTACACACAACACCTCCAGGGCGAAGCGCTTTTGCTACTGATTGAAAGAAAGGCTTCTCAAACAACTCTTGTGCTGGACCTAGGGATTAAAGTTAATCAAACCATTTGAGAGAACAACAACCCATGCAATAGATATCCTGTATTATTTTCGGAAACAAAAATATAATTACCTACAGGGTCTGAAGAATCTACTATAACAGCATCGTAGGTTCCTTCAGGAACATTATTCAGGAATGCAACTCCTGCAGAATTAAAGAAGGAAGAAAATCTACTTGAGAAACTGAATAGGGGATAAGTAAAAACAGTAAATACTATTTAAGGTACCATCTCCAATATGAAGAGTTACACGATGATCTTCAAAACCAACAGCCACATCAGGGAAAAATTGTTTAGAAACCTGACAATGAAAATGTTAAAAATGGCCAATCAAGTATAGGAGCTCATATGAGTAAAGAGGGGTAGATTGTGCTATGAATAATCCCTTTATGGCTCTATCTATAGAGATGATACCCCCCCCCCCCCCCCCCCCCGAGAAAATAACAACCACTCATATCAAACAATTAATAACTGAGCTGACTTACCTCAACTACCATTTTGTCAATCTCACAGATGTCTATCTGCTCAACGGAAGAATGGCGAGATACCTCACGTAAAACACCACCATCACCCCCTCCAATAACCAATACCTAAAGAAAAGTTGGAGGTCAGAATACATATGGATAATAAAGGATTCTAAGGAAAAGAATAAACTTAAACCCGGAAACTCGTCTTGAATGGCCAAAGGTACCATATATGATGTAGCCATTGCATATCTGCATTATATATACTTCATATAACATGTATTGCCTGCACCCTAAAAGTTTCTCCCCATTTTCTTTTTTGGGATATCCAAAATTTCCCTTCTGAGTCCCTTTTAAGGGAAAAAAATTGTGTAGTTGATGTTGTTTCTACCTTTTCTAAATAAAATCACAACTATACAATTTCACTTTCTTAATAAGCGTGACAAATCAAAGTGATACTATAAATCTAGGATGGAGGGAGTACAATGGTAGACATGACTGAGGTTTCAATAATATTATATTGTTAATCGTGACATATTTGTATTAATGGAATCAAGGCACGCCATTCCAAAAGGGAAACATTTTATGCTGGTGAACTCGTGATATTAAGAAAGACATATTCTTAAAAACAAACACCATCATTCATAATTCATATTTCTTATTAGATGTTAAATTATATTAGACAGTGTTCCAACCTTTTTTGGGTTCGGAATTGAGCACAGTGGAAGATGAGTGATCATTTCTTGATAGGCACATTCATCTCTCTCTGTGAGTTGAATAACACCATCCAAAACAAGCACCTTGCCATATGTTGCTGACTGCAGAAAAAACAAGATTAAAGACAATTAGTCCCAAATAAGGGAAAAGTTTGCAGTGTTCAAAGGTTGAAAAAAACTTAACTATTAAGTCTATTAGGCACCAAATACCTGGAAAACCATGAGGTTTTGGTAATCTGACTTTCCCTGAAATAATATCTTTTCCACCTTTAATGAGTGCGCCTCTCCTGCACAATTATCCACTAACATAAGTAAACCAAGACAGACCATCATAGTCTTAAAGCACAAAATAATGAGATAACTAGAACAAATGGAAGGAACAACTAGTAATAATCATATCAAAGTCCTTGTACAGGTCTTCATGACAAAAAGATTAAAATGGAGGGATACAAAATTTTGATAAGGTATTCAACACTTCTCAAGTTGGTTATTCTAGTGATATATTCACTCATGATTACACAGTTACTAGATACTAGAACTAGACTAGGTGAGAAATATCAAACGTGTAAAAGTTGAGGAGACTTTCAAAAGAATAGAACTGTTGCAGTGGTGACAAATGATTTGTCCTGTCACGATCAGACCACACCAATGATCGACACTGAGCCCTTTATTCTTTAAAACCATCATGGATGGGTTAACCAAATCTTTCCAAGACGAGGCATCATGTAGTTTACTAAAAAACAGATTAGTAATCACCTAGGGTGGTGGATGCAAGAGGTGGGATGATGAGGTTTCAGCATAAGCCAAAGTAAAACCGAATATACACACTGAAGTGGTGTGAGATTGGATGGGATTATAGAACAGTAGCTAGAAAAGAAGCAAACTTTACAAGCCAAGCACAAGAGTTAATTCAATCATAAAAAATCCATATTTACACCCCATATATATAAGAAAAAACAACAGACAAACAGATGCACTTTATCATAATAAAACCCTTCAGCAGTTCTAATCAATTCAATGAACGCACGCGCGTGAGACGTAAATACAGATAGAGGCACTAATGGTTGTGAACTGACCAGGCCACATTGGGCTAATCTCGGAGAACCAGCCAGGAATAACGGAGGAAAAACACAGCCCATCCTTGTTGCCGACCTCTCCTTCCCCATTAGCCTGCTTCAACTGCGGCTCATCTCCGGTTACTACCGCCGCCGCCGTACCCACCTCCGCCATTATTGATTGAATAAGCGAAGATGTTGAAGTGCAAGTGACGGCACAAATTTATCTGGTTTATGGAATCTCTTTTTTTGAAAAAGGAGTCTCTTTTAGGAAACGGAGATGATACGTTTATGATTTGCTGACTTTACTACCCATCCGGAGATGGCATATTTTAAAGTGCACCCACATTAACTTTATTATTGAAATGATAAGCCTATCATTCTTCATGATTTCTGATGTTTGGTTCGCAGAATCAAAAGTACATGTCGCCAGAATAACAATTATTGATGCTCTTCATTTATAAATAAAAGAGAAATTATCTAAAATAGGACTAAAAACGTTTGTATATTCCAAAATAGGATTATCATGTTTTTATTCTCAAAATAGGACAAATTACTGTCATGTTTTTGCAGTACCAAACTTTAAACATCGTAGTATTTTCCAAATTTGGCAGTAATTACTCCTATTTCGGGAATTTTCCCTTTAAAAAATACAAATAAATAGTTTGCATTCCAAATCTCTCCCTACTTGTAACCAGAAAAGAATCTCCCAATTTAGGGTGTGTTTGGAAAATGGTGGATTGGGGACTTGAGGTATATTAGATAGGTAAATCACATACTACGGTAGATAATATGAGTATGAGTTGGTCAATAATAAACATTAAAAAAGCTATGCACTTTTTGTGTGGAAAAACATGTCTATCTTCTAGTACCGTTTTGATAAAGAGTTGGACTTGGGATGCACACTTTTGGTGTACACACTTTTTACACATGTCTGTGTAAGGTTTTTTTTATGTCTGTACATACATAAAAAAAACCTTACACAGACATGTGTAAAAAGTGTGTACACCAAAAAGTGTGTACCTTTAGAATTTTTCTTTGATAAAATCTTTTAAAAATTTAAATTTTGTGATGGTGATTGCCAAGAGCAAGTAGAGACGGAAGTGTGGGGTGTATATTAATAGCGTATTATAATTATTATTAGTATTGAGGTCTATATGTAATTACTTATCTCTTGTTTAATATAAATACACCACTAGGGTTATCACAATGGTAAGCCATTACTCTCCAATTGTATTCTTTCACATGGTATCAGTCGCACGGGTCCCCTAACCCTAGTTTACTATGTCGCGTCCTCCAGTCACGGCGCCCGCCTCCATCCCTGCGGTGCAACCTCCTCGGCCGGAAGCAACCATGCCGGTCGCGGCTTCTATCTCGGCGCCCTCCCCAGTCCAGGAGCTGCCTCCTTCTTCAGGCGTGATCATGTCACCCAGCCTGCCTTCTTCTTCGAGACTACATCCAAATTCTTACAACTTGTTTCACATGCTGGAGCCTTTCACGTGGACTCCAACCCTCACCATGGCGCCTCCCCCAGTGCAGACACCTTCCACGTCGCCAGTTTGAGCTCCATCACCCATCATGCCTGCTTTTTCTGGACTTACATGGTCTGGCCATCTGCCGCATTCTATGTTTGATCCGCCTCCTCTGTTCTGGACAGCCACAACCCCGACAGTTTCCAGCCCTCTCGCACAACTGTTCTCTCAACTGTCGTTCTCGACACCAAATGTTACCAACATCGTCACTACTCGGCTAGCCACGGTTGAGGATTACCTTTCATGGCGTACACAATTTGAATCATATTTTGTATCCAACGGCTTGCTAGAAATTTTGGATGGTTCTCTTTTGGCTCCACCTACTCTCATTCGGGATGAGCCCAATCCCGATTATTCCTATTGGTTACGCATTGATCAAACCGTTCGCTCATGGCTCTTCGTTACTCTATCTCGGGACCTCTTGGTTGAGGTTCGTGATTTACGCTTTTCTGCCCCTATTTGGGACCGCTTGGAGACTAGGTTTATGGCCGAAAGCATTGCTCATGCCACGGAGCTTAAACGCTAGTTGAGCAATCTCAAAAAGAAGGAATCTCAAAGCATGGATGAATATTTACGAGACATTAAAAATCTGGCCGACGCCCTTAATTCTATCAATTCGCCGGTGATGAATCGTGAACTCCTACTTGCCACGGTTAATGGTCTCGGTAGGGAATATGAATCCCTTATCACTTCAATTATCTTGTTTCCGGACAGCTTCACTGTGGATAGTTTGTGTCCCCAATTGATGGCTCTTGAACAGCGGGCACTTTTTCTTCGCACACAAAATTCCCATCCAGGCCATCAAGCTTTTGGAATTTGGAGTGGCAGAACAGGCAGCTGTTGCCGTCCAGCGCAATGCTGGTCGAGGGGGTGATCAGGGCGGTCGCGGAAATGGTGGCCGCGGCTATCGCGGTGGACGTCAACGGGGGCATCGCGGCAGGGGACGTGGTTACGACGGACAGAACTATGGTGGTCAACAGTATGCCGGTCAGTACGTTCGAGGTCCTCCGGTACCAGGATATGATGCGGTTCCTCCAGTCCCTGGTTGGCAGATGCATCCTCAACAGTATGCTCCACGTGGACAGCAGGCTCCGGGATTCCAAGGTACGGTTTTAAGTAATACTTGTCGTGTTATGGCCAATATAAATGCTTTAATTGCTTGTGTTACTCATCCTAACTTTGTAGATTTTCCATCAGTTGAAAATTCTTTTCAGCCCCCCCACCACCCATAGTGTGTCGGATTTGCTTTTCTTCTGGTCATTCTGCTTTGGCATGTTCTCGTTTTGTCAATTCATCTGCTCCAGCTTTGGCGGCTATTCCCACGGGTGAATCAAATGAATCTGTACGGTACCCCAACTCTGAGGCTTCGGCTCATATGACTCCGTCAGAAGGTATTTTATTAAATAAAACTATTTATTGTGGATCACTAATCTCCAAGTTTCCAATATTGGCAAAATTAATTTAGCTACTTCTGGCCGTCCACTCATTTTAAACAGAGTTTATCATGTACCGCAGCTTAAATACAATTTACTATCTATTCAACGTTTGTGTGTGGATAATGATTGTTCGGTCATTTTTAATAAAAATTCTTTTTTGTTAAGGACAGCCACACAGGGGCCATCCTTCTTCAAGCCACCAATAAAGACTGTGTATATCCCTTTACTGCTGCCCATCAACCTGCCCCGTCCCTAGCCTTCAAGACATCGCTTGTACCAGGCCCGGTTTGGCATAAAAGACTTGGTCACTGTGGGGATTGTTGGAAAAATGTGTTAAAAATTGCATTAAATGGTCATTTTGGGGAAATTATTTGAGTGGGGTCCACTTCCGATTTGGGTCGGGTCAAAGTGGTTTCGGATTGTCCTTGTTAAGGGCTACAATTCGATATGTGGTACACTCAAAACGGATAACGGGTGAATGAGAAATTGATTCTCGAAGTTCACTCGTTGAAATGGAAAAACTGGGAAAATGGTGAGTTTCTAGTGTGTTTTATCCCACACTGAAAAACTCAAGTGATTTTCACCCCCTCATAAAGGGAAGCCTCTTTTAAGGAGTTAAGATTCCTAAAGGGAAAGGCTCTCTCTTACGCGCAGGGGGGGTGCCGATCAAATCCCGAAAGGGAGAAGAAAAACCGCGACTCGTGTGCGCGGGCGACCTGCGGACACGAATGCCGTACAAAAATCTATCTCTCAAGAGATACGGTTAATTTTTGTTTTCTTCCCGGAACGTTTATTTTTTCCCAGAAGTGCTCCGGACAGAAGGCCTCGAACAGAACCCCTCGAAGGGGTGTTCTGTTGGCTTCAGACAGAAACCCTCCAAGGGGAGTTCTGTTGGCTTCGGACAGAAACCCTCCAAAGGTGTTCTGTTGGCTTCGGACAGAAACCCTCCAAGGGGAGTTCTGTTGGCTTCGGACAGAAACCCTCCAAAGGTGTTCTGTTGGCTTCGGACAGAACCCCTCCAAGGGGTGTTCTGTTGGGGTCTTCTGTCGCGCATTTCTTCCGTTACAACAATTAATGCTCAACGTTCTTCTCTTTTAATGCTGCGTTAAATGGACAGTTTATGGACGATTCAATGCCCAACGGACTGGTCATTGATGTCCAACGTTCAGGTCCATTAACACCCCATTTAACACACAACAAATCCTCCTATAAATAGCTGGCAGGTGCTTTGCAACAAACACACGGTTTGACACTACGCACAATACTTTCCTCACGAATTTCTTGAGCTAAAAACACCTACAGCTACTCTGAAATTTCCTTCTGTGTTCATACTTGGTTCTCGTTCGCTGGAACCCGAGAAATTCAACGGGTTAAACTTCAAGAGGTGGCAGCAAAAGATGCTATTTTACCTCACTACTCTCGGTCTTGCTAGATTCTTGACCGAAGATGCGCCAGTAGCAACCGGGGGTGAGGTGGATGCGCAATCTTTCAACGCGGTTGAAGCTTGGAAGCATTCTAACTGCCTTTGCCGAAACTACGTGTTGAACGGGCTGCATGATGCTTTGTACGACATTTATAGCAAATTAGCTACGGCTAAGGAGCTATGGAATGCTTTGGACCACAAATATAAAAGCGAGGATGTCGGCGCAAAGAAATTTGTTGTTGGTCGATTCCTTGACTTTAAAATGGTGGATTCGAACACGGTCTTGAGTCAAGTTGAGGAGATGCAAATGATCTTCAACGAAATTCGAGATGAAGGAATGACAGTTAGTGAGTCATTCCAAGTGGCGTCAATTATTCATTTATTGTCGCCGGCTTGGAAGGATTTCAAGAACTACCTTAAGCATAAGCGAAAGGAAATGAACTTAGAGCAATTGATCCTCCGTCTACGGATTGAAGAGGATAACCGGAAGAACGATGAGAAACTCCCAATTGTTCATGGCGCCAAGGCCAACGTGGTGGAGCATGCTAAAGGCTCCAAAAATAAAAATAATGGGAAGAGCAAGCTCGGTCCCAAGGGAGGCGTTTCCAAGACAAAGTTCAACGGAAAATGCTTCAATTGCAACAAGAATGGACGCAAGTCCGCGGATTGCAAGGCACCCAAGAAGAAGAGAGACTCTCAAGTCAACTTGGTGCAAGGTGGGCAAAAGGATGAAGACATCATCCTAGTGGCTGTGGTTACGGAAGTCAACCTCGTTGGATCCAATTCCAAGGAGTGGTTCATGGACACCGGTGCAACCCGGCATATTTGTTCAAACCGGGAGTTATTCACAACTTTTGAGCCATCAAATGGTGAGAAAGTGTGGATGGGTAACTCGGCTCATTCCGCGGTTGAAGGCGTGGGCAAGGTGGTCCTGAAGATGACTTCGGACAAGGAGCTGACTCTAAACCAAGTTTTGTTTGTTCCGGAAATACGCAAAAACCTGATTTCCGGTTCGTTGTTGAACAAAATGGCTTTCGCA